GAAGAATTCAGATTGATCTCACTTGTGGTGCTCAATACAGATAGGGATACAATGTCTATGATTAAGGATCAACACAAACAAAACACTATAAACAGGCTCTGCGTCAGAGTTGACACTGTTCATTTTTAACTTTTGAATTTCATGTTGCAGGGAGATTCAGGTGGCCCCCTGACATCAGAAGATGGTAACAAGTGGTTTTTGGTTGGTGTAACATCGTTTGGCTATAAGTGTGCACTTCCTAAACGACCAGGAGTGTATGCTCGAGTCACCATGTTTGTGGACTGGATCAAAAAAATAATCTATTAGCTTGATATTTTTTAATGATAGAAAAGTAATTTAAAGGCTGAAAGTAAGCCATTGTTTTATGATGTAAACCAAACTGGCATTTCAATTTCACAGCTACAGAAACTCAATAAATATTTACATTTCGGGGAGGAAAATATTAGTAATTGAGAACTCCTTTACCAACTGAGAGCAGTATTTCAAAATATATGCTGTGGTTTTGTTAATAAATAGTTTTATAACTTTACTTTTTCTTTTATATGAAACCATGAGGAAACAGTTTCTTTGAACACCATTAAATGCATACTGGAGGGCTTTACAAAGCATGAGCAGTAAAAAAAAAAGTTTGAAAACCGCAAATGCCTTATTGAAAAATGGTCCAAATCATTCATTTCAGGCCAAACATTACCTGGTTTTATTTTTTTACACTGTATTTTTAACATGCACTTTCATTTCAGTGCAGTCAACTCTTATCAGTAATTTCACCACCTATCAAAATGAAGGTATACATTATCTGTTTAAACTGGGCTTATGGGAGATCTTCAGTGTCATCTATTACAAAAAGCTCTGGAATTAGGTTTATAGATTGTGCATAAAGGCTGATCATGTATCACGCTGCTTTCTAATGAAAACTGAATGCAAACCAAAAGTTCTCTCTTGTGCAATTCATTTGGAACTAATATATTTAAATAAGGACTGAATATAGATTTTTAGTTTTCTTTTTAGGCAAGTGTTTTGGCAATTATAGATATGTGCTTGGGTATACACAAGCACAGACTCACAATAACTTCCTCTCATAAAAAATAATGTATTTTTAAAAACATCTGAATAATGACTATCAGCTATTTCTGGTGAATAAAAAGGAGTAGGGTTTCTTTGATATATTACAAGCTTTTTCTGTACTGGTGACGTTTGATATTGATTTTGTGCTTTGTATAAGAACTATCATGATAGCTCATTACAGCATTCTAAATGGAAAAGAATATAAAGGAAAAAAGAGGGTTTCTCTTATTGAGTCCTTTTCTAAATAGGTTGCTATTAAAATATAATTACCAACTTGTTGAAATACCTTAAATTCAATGGTGTCTTAAAAATAGTGTAGTATGATGCATTTCCTTTATTTCTGTTTCCATGTTAGTGCAACAATGTATTTTTAATTTCAAAGTACTGCATGCAAATACAAAATGCATTCTAACTTACTGTGGATGTGTATCTATACATACACACATAGACGTATGATTTCTGAAAGGAGCTCCCACGCTTGGTGCTTATGATGCCAAATGCAGATATGAAGTGCTCAAAACAAAAGGCTAGTTTACAAACACAGGTTGGCAGTCACTGACAAAAAAAATATCAAGTCCAAACGGTTTTCAGGTCTTCATAAGCATTAGAGAATTAGCTTTATCAATACATCTGTGACCACAAAGAACAAAGACAGATGTTAATCAAGCCAGATAGATGATGAAAGGTATTTTAGACACATTCTTTCTTATAAACCACATAGTTTTTAATGTTAAAGTTGCAAGTCCTATCTTTTTTAGTGGACTACTCTCTCCTTCACTTGAGAACAGCCACCGAAGTACATTCTCTTGTCAGTATAAATTGATTCGGATGAAGCAATTATGTTAGAATGCTTAATTAAAATGTGACATGATTTCTGCATTATTTACCATACATCACTATTGTAAATTGTGTTTCAGTCTGATAATGAAATACAAGAGCCAGCTCAGAGAAGATCCAGTCACTAGAAAATGCGCTTCCCAGAAATATAGTCATATACTTCTATTTATGTGTATTTTTTGCTTCCCAAAATGCAAAGCATAGATGTATTTTCAGGTGTACATTAATAAACCATCCTATCAGACTAAAATATTTACTGTTATAAACTCTGGTATAGAAACATACATGTAGTATAGACTAGTATAATTAAAAATAAACATTATATTTCAACTACTTTATGTCTACATAAAACTAACACAACCTTAGTCGACCACATTCTAGCCTTTATTCAGCATCCATTACTTCAGTTGTCTACATATTACCCTGTGGAGAAACTAGTCATTACCATGTTAAAACACGTGGATTATTTTCAATTGAGTCACAGTTCCAAGACTGTTTGAAATACAGGGCGGAAGCTTGAGGCTGAATTACACTTGCTTGCACCCAAAAAAGGTTAAAAGATTAAAGAAGGAAACAAGAGCTTTCTCTCAGATGCTTCCTGCTTGCAAAAAAATAGAAATTATACTCCCTGGGGAAAATGGAGGCAGTGGGAATATAATGTTTTTAAAATGCCAAACTGAAGCCATGCCATCCATCTGAGGACTAGCTAAGGTTTACTTTTCATCATTCAGTTCCTTGCCTCACCTACTGCTGCCATTTGGAAGAGATTTAGAGAGACACTGAGCAGAAGGGAATGTGATCACCATGAGGGGACCCCATAGCTGTACATAAAGGCCAACAAGCTTATTCAAAATGGCTCTAGTTGATGAAATCTGGCACCTGAAATTGGAAATAATTTTGCTTTCTCCATTCTGTAGCTTTCAATGCGAATACAAAGGACAGAGAGGGCTGGGAGGTTTTGTTGCTATTTTTTATTGGGGTTTTTTGTTTTTCTTTTCAAGCAGCAGTTCTGTTGCCACTAATGGACAAAATACAAAATGTGTTTTTTCTGGATTCTCTAAGCCTCAACAAAATCCAAAGGTAATACCAGCATAAAGTCTAATTTCTAGTATTCTCTCTGCAAGTGTGCAACACGCCTATCTTTCCCCCTTCCCTCTTTTACCCTTACTCCTATCTCCCTTTCATGTATGGAAATAAAGGAAATAAAGATGAAAGAATTTGTGTATGTATGGGATTGGTATCTTTTGCATGGAAAAGAATCACCAGCTAAAAGTTGGGAGTCGTAAGACTGTAAATTTGATCTACACACTACTTGCAGTCTTCTACATAAGATCCTTAAGTTTCTCTGGATTTTACCTAGTAGGTAAGAACAACACCCTAAGCAAAGGAAATACATGGAAGGAAACTATTTCCTTCCCCTAAGCAGGTGATATGATATGGAAATATTTTGTCCTAATAACCAGTATTTCTTGTTTACATATAGAATCTGAGTACATCATAATAAATGCATTACATGTCACTTTCCAATCTTCCTTCACAAAGAGTTTAAGACTGGTCCATGCTTATAACTGCCCAGCAATCGCCTTCACCCTGTAAGAAAGACATCTAAAGGTATTTGCATTCTACTAATAGCTACATGGAAATTACTTCTGCTGCATTAATCATAATATCAATTGCTACACCTTTACGTGTCCTTTGGAAACACAAAGTATGAAGAAATGGTTACTCTTTAAATTAAGTTAAAGGAAGCTAATCCTTCAAGATCGTAAAATAACTAAATTTTTACCACAACTGTCCCCAAGAGGAATCCCTTGCCCTCAGTTGAGCTAAGCAATACTTAAGTCAGGAAAAAAACAATTCTGGTCCTGGTGATCATGCAGGATCATAGAATTTTCTTTCTATTTACAATCACTACAAAGTAAATTGAAATAAGGGATTGAGCAAAGCAATAAGTTGTGACTGACTGGAAAAACTACGGAATATTTTAAGCAGGAATAGCAATACTTAACCCGAGCTACAGAAGAAGGCTTCTTCAAAGAGAAAGTAAAAACATGGCGTTAACAGCAACTTTAAGATGCTTCCAAAAGTGCTTCAGCAATAGCATTGCACAATTAGTATTACTGATCTTTTAAATGTTTTTTCTTTACTCAGAAAAAAATGATACGCATTTATCTCTGAACTCAAAGCTGTGGTCAACATCAGTTAGCACAGCCTAGGCAACCCAAAGAGTAACACAGTTTTGCTTCTGTATGTCTCTCCCCAGCATCCACCCATCGTAGTTTTGAATCTGTGTTAATGTAAGGCCAACCAGCTTGAACTTGCTTTCCTGAACTCTTGCTGCAAGTGCAGCAAAACCCCTTAACTTCCTGTTACAGCACCAGACTATCCAAGTCAGAGTGCTATTGCTATCACCCCAAGATCTGCTCCTAATTAACTGGTAAAACCATTCATATAGCACAGAAAGCTCTTAAGGAACCAAAGAGAATGTACATTAATGATGTTAATAATAACTCTAAAAGAAGACTTTAAATGCATCAGGGTTACCTCTAAATCTGTCTATCAATTAACATAATTAACATTTTTCTAGCTAATAGTCTGAGTAATGTTGAGATCAATCTATTATAGTGCCACTTCTCAGAAAAGACATCTGTCTTCTCTTTGATCCAACATTACATTATTCCTAACAAACTACTACCTACATTTATATATTTAATATCTTTTTTCATAGATTTACTGAAATAAGTAATTTTAATCTTAAACTCTTGCCCACCGTGATTTTTTTTCCTCAGAAAAAGTAAACAATATTTTACTTAAATAAGAACTAATGGCTACCTTCAAAAGACACCTCATTAATAAGGTATCACTTGCCAAGTTACTTATTGACCTTGGACCAATATGTCAAAAAGTTATGGTTATTCCCTGGTAAAGTGGATTCATTATATGACATCAAATGACTTCTATGAATCCTTGAATTCTGTCACATCATATTGATGTCACAACATGGCAGCTACCTCTGCCAGTGACCATGTTAGTCAATTTGTGTGCCTGAGGATCAAAACCTGTGTTAAGTGTGCAAATAAATACTAAACAAATATTTTGTATCAAACATTTATGCAAAGATAAATAATTGTTACACTGTAAAATTGTCAGTTCCATTTACAGTACATCAACTAGGTTACAATACATGAGACTAAAGGAAACAAAGAGGGTTTAACTACAAACAGTCTTAAAACTGATATACATTGTAGATATTTCCCCATAAAAACTTCAAATGCTCTGTTCATTGCTCACAACTAGCTAACTTACATCTCTTAGCAAAATAAACACATACCCTTTATTTAGCACGGCATATTTTGTCACTGAATTAATAATCAAACATTATATAAAAATGATCTGAACATTTGCCTCAAGGGGGAGCTTACAGTTCATTCTTGTAGATCCTTTGCATTTTCAAGCCATTCCAAGCTAATGTTCTTTGACGACATTATAATACAGCCTGACTGCAAAATGTTACTTTTGTTTTGTTTTCAGTCAGTAAATCATTATACCTCCATGCTACTGTCCTTCCTAGGCGTCTTTGAAATCCATAGTGTGGACTGGTTTGGACTGGTTTTTGTTCTTCCTTTACTGAAAAATAAAAATATAAACTATTTTCAGTGCCTGTGTGCCTTTACAGTCCTGATTCAGGTCTGCGATCAGACCCGGGTATTTCATCCCCTATGTGAAGGCCATCTTTGTTGCTTTCATAGCATAGGTTCCCCATCAGCAAAAGGGTCATGCCCATGTTGCACCGAACATAGTACCGCAGCAGTGGGTTGAGGTAAGCAACTGTTACCAAAGTTACCAGACCCCTCTGTTTAGCTGTGCTCCTCCCAAGAACTGAACTGACTTGGCCCATATTATTTTTTTTATTTATTTTTTCCGGTTCACATTCAACCACACCTACTCATACAGAGGGGTCTTTTCAGAGACAGGTATGGACACTGCTTGAACAGGGTGGTGGGAGGCTGGGCACTTCCCTTGCCTGGGGATGGGAGCACACACACCCCCGAGCCCACATCCAACATGTTGAGGGTGCAGCCCACCCACCCCGGGGCCTACCGCAACCCTGCCCACACACACCCTGGAGCTGCACCCCCGTGACCGCAGTACAGTAACGGGTGCCAGGGTGTACTGGAACACCAGAAAGCTGCTTCCCTTCAGGGCTTGACCTAACTTCTAATGAAGTAATGGCACATGAATCAGACTCCTAGAAATGAATGACTAGTAGAAAGCTTCCTTAGGCCTAGTTTTCATTCAAGACTATCAATAAGAGGTTTTGTGTTTGGTGGCTTTTTTTAAAAAAAAAAGTTTTTTAAAAAAAAGTACTTGCTCTGCAATACTGAAAAAATGTTCAATCTTTACAGGGAGCCCTGAGGTACCCTGCAAGTTGATGCCAGTCTTTCCACATGGCTAGCACCTCTGCTACGACTGGCAGAACACACCACCTTCCCTCACTGAGATGGCAGATGACAGTGCACTGCAGTCTAATGAAAAGGCACTTCATGAGCCACTGAGGCTGCATTTCAATCAAAATATTTTAGTGTCTGGCCAGAATATTTCACACTGATTTTTTTTTCCTAAAATTAAGTGAAAAACAGAGAAGGAGAAGTGGCCCTATGTAATTCTGTAAGTTGGAAACCTGAGAGTCAAGATCCCAACAGTCCTATACATTCAGTTTTGCTCCTTTCCTAGTGTGTAAATGTAAACGAGTCTGAGGTGATTTGAAATGTACTGTGAGGGAGCTGAACGGTACAGTAGCTTTTAGTCCCTCCAGACTTACCTCTGAAGTCCTACAAAGTAATGCATTATGTACCTGAGCCCATTGGAGTAACTGAAAAGACTCCCATTGGTTTCAGTGGACTTTAGATCAGGCCACAATGCTATAAACAAAGCAATTGCAATGAATCAAGTAGTTTCAGCATTTCTTTCTTTAAGAAACTAGTTTACTACTTCCTTCTAGATTAACACAGTAAATTCAGGCATATTTTGTAAGCTAACGATGAAATGCTTTGAATGGGAAGTCCTTGCCACACAGCAGGAACAATTTCCAAATACCTTGGATCAGAACTTTAGCTGTATAAAATGAGCTTGTCTTCAGCGAACCTCGCTGACTTTCAACAGCTATACATCTGGTTCAGGAAATAATAGGTTTTAGTAAGAAAGATGCAATAAATAGCTTGAGCATATTGCTGTTTTGACCATCAAATGCAATCATAGAAACTGAGAAATATACCAGGTTGGAATTTAAACTTTCTGCAAGGCATTCAGATGATAATGGAGATGGGTCTTTGAAGCAGTTTCTCCTTGCTTCCCTGGAAGAAATGAAAGGGAGAGCATCTAAGCATGAATGAGCTGATCATTTCTACTAGCTACAGGGAAGACGTTTTGCTTTGCCTTATTACTACCCTTTAAGAGCCCAACACCAGGCAAAATTAGTCATGACCTTTCAAGCTAGGCATGTCCTGGGTGGCCATCGATTGTGGCTTTCAGAGGAAAGGTCACCATGTTGTGGAAGCCTAAAAAAGAATGAGAAGTCAGGTTCATTTGGAAAGTTGGGGACCCCTCCTTCCCCAGCAGGACAGAATTTCTGTCTTAAAGGTCTGCAGTGTCCAGCTGATCAGTTCAAGTGGTTGCTTTTTTTTTTTTTTTTTTTTTTTTAGCTTTTTCCCCCCAAGAACTGTGTATTTGTGATGAACCAAAATGATTCACGAGGTAGGTCAGATGTGGAAATACAACTGAAAATAGATGGGGAAACATTTTTTAAAAACAAAGTTCTGTTTCTACAGATAAAAAAGAAAATAATTCATTTTTGGTGATACCAGAATATCCTATTTTAAGTGAATTTTAAAGAAAAGTTGTTTATTTTCTCTAATTAAAAGCTTTGGTGCACCCCAAAATGAACAAAAACATATGTTTTGATTCAAATCCATTTTCTTCCTGATTTTTGTATCATAATCAACTAACAAAAAAGCACAATCTTTCAAGCTGAATTTCCAATATATGTGTCGTGCAATTTTTAAGTCTTGGAAGTTCAGATTAATTACTTCTGAATGAACTGCTATAGCATCAAAGGCCTGATCAAAGCCCACTGAAGTCAACACTACTATTTCTATTGAATTCAGTGGGCCATGAATCTCTCATTGTTTTCCCACGAGTATTCGAGAGCTGAACCTTTTCTGGGGAGAGAAAATGCTGCCAGAAAAGGTATGAAGACGTATGTCATACTTACCAAAAAATCAAGACCCAGATTGTATATTCATATTGTAATAAGGAATGCAGATTTAATTATACAATTGCTACATACATACATATATATATATATATATATATAAAAAAATAATTCCTTTATTACTCTTTCTGCTTTGAGTCTCCAACTTTCTACAGCCCCAGTGCTGAGATTTGCATACAGCCTTTCACAAGCATAAATTTTCCTGCCGTAAGACATGTTGGAAAATACATTTTCCTTTTCTTTATAGGAAAATGCATAAAATAAATACACAACCTAACTTATGATGCAGACCTCCTATCTTTATGATTGCTTGTTTCAATGAGACACACTTGCAGAAAATGCTAAATAAAAAACACAAAGGAAAAAATAAAGACTAGAAGGCAGATTTTTTTTTTCTAATTTCCTGGAACAGTGATATCATATTCCTTACTAGTTTTCCTGCTCTTTAACTGGAGAAACAGCTTGTGAATCTTATTATCATTACTCTTGTTATTCTCCAAAATAGTGCTTATCCATAAAACACATGTCAGTGTAAACTTTTCTGGATTACATTAACTTGAAAACACTTCCCAAAAAAAAACCCCTGCAGAATGAAAAGTAGCCTGGAAAGTTTCAAAAATATTATTACAAGAAAGAAAAATTATGTTATATCTTCGTATATCATAGTTTGAGAAAGATAAAAAGTCCCAAGTATTTTAAAGCATGGATCAAAACATATCCTGTTTCATAGGCTGAAATGTTTCCTATTTCCATAGTAATACATCTGTTTCATACTACATCGATGTACATGTATCTGTTTACTTCACTCATCTTCTTTGGCAGATACATGATGTACAAAGGAGTTGCACTGGCGTGTGGCTCAAAACATGTTTTTGCTTTTTGTTTCCAATTTGTCTGCTCCAGTGACCCATCCGTTGCTCGTATGGTATGCACACTGAAACAGCATTAAACAGGTGCTGGCCCCTTAGGTTTATCCTTGGAACAAACTGCACTTTTGGTCAGAAAGCGAGGTGAGTCCTTGAGTTAACCCTGTATCAGTGAGGACCCTACTGTTAGCCTAGATGCTGTATAGGTGGTAATCATGATGGAAGAGGTGAAGTAAAAGTGCTGACAGTAGCTGAGCCCATCAAATGGCCAGCAAAGATAGCTTCTTTAGAAACAGGTGAAGTCTTAATGGCAGTCTACTTTGAGAGACTATTTCAGCATGTTGTGGAAAAGCCTGAAGGTGAACGTTCAGCTGTAACAGCTGTAAACTACTTGGATTTTAATAGATGAAAAGATGCTTATTTGCATATTTGGGGACAGATGTAAGTAGTCCTTCAGTATGAATAGCTTGCCAATGGAAATATGAATTCTGCATTATAATACCATTATGGATTAGTATAGTTTACCTTTTATGAAGCATCTGGAAACAGCAAGTCCCAAAAGCCACCAGTATCAACAGAAGTAGTGGTATAGTGGGTATTACAACATAAATTAGATTCGGAATTATACCTACAAGACAGAAGTTCTCATTAATGTCTCCCGTGTTGAAATACTCTTAACCATGTGAGTAAAAATCTGGAGTAAAATATCAGAAATACATTAACCTACACAAAAGAACTTTGATACATTCCTTCTATAAGAAGAGCTCCAAAAGGTAACTCAGCAATAAAGTAGTACTTCTCCAGTGATATGCAAAATACATCTCAAAGAATTACATTCTGATGTTTTCTATATGCATCAGTGTGAGATTTCTAATTTTGTCACTGAAATTGTATTTCAGAGTACATTTCACAGCCAATTATATTTATAGTCCATATAACCTGTCTACCCAGTTGCCCGTGCATGTTGTGGTCCTGCATGTGTGCAAATACAAGAGGAACGAACCCTGCTCTCATCTCCCCATTCCCCATAAAAGACAAATGTATGCTGTCCTTGACTAATCAGGATAGAAATAAAGGCACTCCCCTGCAGGTCCCTGGAAGAAAGGAGTGGGAAATGGTACAAGCTCAGACTCTATTATCTGCTACTACAAAGACTGGAGTCTACAACTTCCAGAAGGGTCTGACTGTTTTTCAGTAACTATATGCCCACGTTTTGTAAGAGTATAATGTACAAGTTGTGGAGACCTTCTTATCCTTTGTCCTCTTTGGAACATATTTTCACCAGCAAGAATAAATGTGAATGTTCAGATTGGGTTTGTTTATGATCTTCAGATAATCTTTGCATGGCTTGTACAAATAGTATTACTGATTTCAAAATACAGTTCATCAGTATATCCACTTCTCTGGAGTTACAAACAACGGACACATCAGTTAGGAAACTGGCTCAAATCCAGCCAACCAGTGTGGAAATAGAGCAACAGCTTTCCATAATCCCATGGCGTAATCCTGCAAAATCCTGACTTCTCCTTAGAGATGTTCAATTCCTTGAACTAAGGCCATACTACAACTCTTCACAAACCTCAGGAGTCCATTCAGGACAGAAATTGCTAAATGAAGTAGCTAGGGGCACTACAGCAAGCTCCTAGGCAGCAGGTATCCATTTTCAAAATATCAAGTGCAATCTCTGCTAGAAATCTCAGTAAAGTACTTAACTCTTCTTAGCATGTAATGTTCCTTAAAGCACAGGGTACTTGGGGGAGCTATGGCACAGTGCTTATTGAGCAGATAACTGAAAATTTAATGCCCTGTTAGGGAAGATTTCTTTTTGTGAGCCCCAAGTATCAGATGTAAAAGGTACTATATGCATTATATGTTTGTTACACATGCTGGGGAAGAGGCAAGGCACTGGTTACCACAGGCAGGAAGGAGGCACTTCACATCTGGGTGAACACTGGTGAAATCTTGTGTCTTGACAGAGGCTCACCAGGGTCAGAGACAACAGTGCAGATTTCAAGGACTGCTAAACTGTAGATTTGGATCCAAGTTTTGGGAGACATGGAAATAATTTGTTTCCACAGTTACAGAGAGGACTGACCAAACCTCTTGAAATGTTATTCAAAAGTATACATTTTTCAGGGCACTTGCTGGGTAAACAGACTACTTCCTCCCATTGACAACAATGGAAATTGTAGAGTTAATATTTTTACCAGAATACCAAATTCATATGAACACATTACCTGTTTCAGTAGCAATAACATGATACTGATCTTCTGGTTTGCTTGTGTCATAAGTATTTCCTGCTGGCACTGTTGGTAAAATATCTGAAAAAGATATCAAACATTTTTGAGAAACATTGAGTAAAAAAAAAAAAAATGGCTGTTCTTTTGTTAAATGAATTAATAGTAATTACAGCTAAATTTCTATTGAAAAAAATGAACATTTTCAGGATTGATTAAACTGCTGGATATAAACATGTAAACAGGATTTTATTGCAAAATTTGGATTACATCTGGAAGAAGAATTATGAGCAGTGCTATTCTGAACAATAGCCATATAGCTGTAGCTATTACTCTCTAAAGGATTCCTTTTTTCTATGTTCCACTTTTAAACTACGCCTGTTAAACTTGAGTAATTTTCAAGGTTCTTGTAAGCTATCCTTATAATTATGTATTTACCACTGCCACTGAATTTAATGTTTCAAAATTTCTTACCATAATCTTGCTCCGCTCTGTCTCCTAATTCTTTTTCTAAGACGTTATCTGTTAAATCAATATTTGAAATCAGTTGTTTAAGAATGAAAAATGTGTGTAATGAAACAGATGTTTTCATTATTTTGCATGCAGTATCACAGAAATAGATACATTCTCCAAAACAGTAATTGCCTAATTCCTCACCATTTAATCTTTTTACCAAAGACTATTTGCAAACTAGTGTCAAATCACTTCTGGTTCATAAATTTTTTGCTCCTTAGAAAAGGGCTGTAGTTTATTCTAGTTCCAAAGCTTGGTGGCTTCTGCTAGGTTACTGGCTAAACCACTGAATCCCTTAATTTCTTGTGACGAATAAAACTTCTAACATATTCAAAGTTTCATTTGTGCAGACAATCCTAAAACAATGTAAGAAAAGAAGCATTCTTGATTAATACTTAAACCTTAATCACATCTTCAAAATAATGCTTACAGAAGGTTGACTATGAAACAAAACAAAGCAACACAAGTTTGTGAGGTTGGATGTCAGCTTCATGCAGCTTTGTTTTGCAACAGGCAGCCCTAAAATACAAATCATGAGCAGTGGGTTCTAATACATCACATAAGGAAGTGAAATCATTAAAAGAGGAATTACAGTATCGTATTTCTTGCAATGCATCAGAAACTGGAGAACCAGTTCATGGCTTTGAGCTGTATCACAGAGGCTTGCAAGCTTATACTTACGACTATTGTTAAAACTAAAAGTTTAGAAAGATTACAGAATTAATTACCTCATATTGGGCATAGGAGTGGAATCTGCATAACTGTTTGAATACCATTCCTTTATCATAAAATTATATTAACATAATAGTGCTATGAGCCTGCAGTTCTGAGTGTCCTGATAAACACAAAATGCTGGAAGAAATCAAAGAAGCAATAAAGCCTACTAGAACAAAGGCAATTATGTCATCTAATCTTGTAAAAAATGGCTATGTTTGACCATAAATAAAGATATCAAAATACCACAACGAACTGAGTTGCTGGCTCGAGACAGCAGAAGAGGAGATGAGTTTTTAATTTCATTGCATAATCAAAGCTACAGGAGCTGGACAGGAACCAAACATGGTTGCAATTACCAATCTATAATTAAATTTAAGATTGCTGAATGATCAATATGATCTAAAGCGAGACTGAACATTGCAACAGTAAATGCCATCGAGGGAGGTACTATAAAAAGGGCTTAGAAAAATGAAAATGACTACCAGAAGTGTAGCTGCTGCTTGAGTAAAACTGCCTAACGAGTACTGCCCTCAACTTGCCACTGATAGAATTAGGTGCAACTCCGTTTTGGCCTATGACTGGTATCATACACCATATACTCGAAACAGACAGGGAAGTTGTGAAAAACAATATACTCATAACAAAGTGAAATTCAATACGCATGTGACACTTTAATACTCCTGGTAAAATGGATGTCTTTTGTATTGCAAATGGCTGACGTTGAAGCTATTACAGTGATTTGGGGGGAAAAAAAGGTCTCACTGTTTCAGATAGCAAATGTAATTTTCTTAAACACACTGTGCTCCTTTCTTCAAGCAGTGAAAGAGATGACAGATACCTATTTATATACATTTATGTATCTAGTCCTCTTCTCCATATGATAGAAAAATACATTTCTGGAGAACAGTGTGTTTTGCTAAAGAGCACAATTCCAACAGCCTGAAAAATAAATAGCTACAATTCAGTAGTATTGTATTTGGCTGCATAACAATGTCAGTCACAATAATAATCTACCCGTATAGTTTGCCTTATTATATGCCTCATTATACACTAGTAATCTTTTTCTACATAGGGAAAGAAATACAAATTCATTTTCATTGTTACTGTTATCACTTTGTTTTCTGCCAATCCAAAATACCCCTCATTTTTTCAGATGGTGAAAGCAACAGGAAAAAACAATTCTTTATCACATCTCAACTAGAATGTTAAGTAGTTCACTATTACAGAATAATTATTTCACTTAAATTTGTTTGTTTTTACAGATATTAAATATATTTGAAACTGAGCACTTTTAATCAAACCTGCATCTTCTGACATAAAAATGTTGCTATATTAACAACTTGAAACATTTTTATTGTTCTCTTATTTCAAAATACTTGTGATCTGTTGTAAAAGTGATAAAATTGAATGGCCTATATGACTAAGATGATAACTGACCACCATAAGATATAGTCACTAATTAGAAGCAGAAACAGATTTGAGGGATGGGGGTAAAATGTGTGGGTATATCAAGTCTTCCAAGTATTTAATATTTACTTGCAATATTAGTTGTCATTAATAACCCCATTAAGATTCTAGACAGTTAAGAAAGCTATCCACCAAAACTGGATGAAGAAAATAGCCTGGATCTCTACAGACAAATTATTTGAAAATATTTTCATGATCTTGCCAAAATACATGTTTTCATTTACTGTTAAGTACCACCAAAGTAGAAAATTACAGGCTCAACTTGAAATTTTACTCTTCACATCCTTTTTCTGTTTGCACGAAATTCTAGTTTACAGTCTACGTTTCCTCTACTGACATATACAGGACCTATGTTACGTCTGAAAGTACAGCCAAATTACCTAAGATCTGTTTTTTCTGTCATGATCTGAACTAGTGTCCATCTGTTTTTTATATCTATAAATCTACATGCATGAATGCTGCTGTTCTGGACTTCATTCTTTAACCCAAAACTTTTTGAAATAATAACCCATAAGTTGGTATAAAATGGCAGAGTTTCACAACTACAAGGACAGCATAATTTTTTTACAGTAAGACCAATAGATATCCTGGTCATCCTACTTGATAGCAAGCAAGGGAAATAGAAAATGGCTACTTCAAACACACTGTAGAGAATACAATAACTAGTGAATGAGATAAATCAAAGTAAACCTGGGAATGCATGATAGTGAAGCTAACCTTGAAAACACTCTTATTGGATACATACAGTTTTATTTAAAATATCACTGGATTTGATATATTACATCCCCTGTTAATGTCAGACCAGGCACTCACACACCAAAGGAATCGGTACAAAAGGCCACAAGATATTTGCAGATTCCCTCACAAAACAAGAGGCAACTGTTTTTCTAAGTGTCCCACCTGTGAAATACAATTTTAGTTTCTCCTACCTGGGCCATACTTGCAGATAAAATTGTGCTTCATGTTGCATCTATCATCATTCCATTGATAAAGATATGGCCCTCCAAGACCAGGATTTGCAGTTGGCTGATGATACATCACAACACAGGCTTCACTTCCACAGGAAGGCTCATCTGTATACCAATTTCTAGTGGTACACAAAGACAAACTTTCACATTTTGAAAGTAAGGTTCATCAGGACACCAAAGAAAAGAGTTTATATCAATAAAGACATGTCAAACCCAATGGTCCCATCCTCTTCAAAGGTATGCTGCATTTCCCACAATTCCTCTGTGAAAGGAGTTTAGGGCCTGGACTCCACATCTCTGGATCTTAAAAAAAATTCTGACCAGTAAAAGCACCTCTGCAGAAATAACACCCTACTGCTCTGCTAACTATTTTCCTTCCTATCTGACTCTTACCTGTCCCTTTGTCCTGAGTCCTGTGAGATGCTGCTACTCTGGCCTTTGTCTTAATGATGAAATTAAAGGCTTTTCAAAACACAGGGTAGTAATAGAACAATTTACACTAAGTAACATGCATTAATTTATGTGGTGGCTGCCTCCCGGATTTGAGGTGGCCAAAGTCTTGCAGGCCTGCTTTCAGAGCACGTCCTGAAGACACTGCGTATGGCAGAAAAACTTTCAAAAGCCATACAGAGGCAAACTCATGAAATAAGATCAAACAAAACTGCAGGCTGAAGCCACACTGCCATCTTTTTGCAGTTTCAAATTCTAAACCCTGATTGCCAGTTCCCCTTTATCTGGAGAAGGAGGGATGCTACTAACTTAATGGGGCAACAAGTCTTCAAGCTTCTTTCTAGAAGATTTGACTTGCTGGGTATTTCGCTCCCCATTCCTTTCTATGAAACCTTCTCAAGAAGCAGTTCTACAGACTTACCTGAATGGTGAAATGCTTCCATCAGACCACTGGTATAGGTCAGGGCAAGCACTTGAGGTGGCTAGTCCATCGCCACTTCTCCACAACCCAATCCAGAAGTCACCATCAGAAATCCCAGAGCCTGATTTAGTGAGGTTTTGCAACATGTTTTCTATTAGTTGCTGCTCGGCTTCACTGTCCAAGCTCAGTAAAGCCCCACCATCAATTTCACAAGCTTGGCGGGCCTCCTGAAAGCCCACACGTCTAGACAAGTCCTGGAAATAAGCTAGCTTGTAACAAGAATTCTTGAAGTCACCATAGCACACCTTTTGACCTGAAAAATATAAATATGAGAGCATTTAGAGTATAGTAATAAACATCACATCTGAAAAAAAAACAAAACATACCACAACATGCATACAGTGATAGCAAGGGACAGTAGGTGGGTTTTTTTTTCTCATGCCCCTGTCCGAAAGGACTTACAGTGATACACTGACACTGCTGAAAACCTTATCTTTAATTTAATTTGCAACTATCATACAGTTCATGGGACTCTACGGCTTTCTTCCCAAGGCCTGTGAAACTCTCCAGGATACTGAAGACTCCCACGAGCTTCTGGAAAAATACTCACTAATGACTGTGCCATCAGGCCCCTCTGTTAAAGCCAGGATATGTTTGGAGGGTATTTTCTTAACTATTTCATCCTAACGGATCAACTCCACTTTTATTTTGTAATCAAAGCTATTTCATCAGAAAAAAAAATATTTTAAATTCTCAATTTTATGAAAAGAAGCAGCTAGCAGTGTCTTGATTCTGCTATCTAACCTTGAGAGGCTGTATTCACAAGGACCTCATAGCTACTCTTTGCTATAACTAATTGTCTAAGTACAAACTGTAAGGGGGTGTGGAAGAAGAGTGTCTGCCCTTTTAAGGGTATCTGGTCAATGACTTTTTCAGTGCAAAAAGGAATAATAAGAAAAGGAAGAAAATATGAAGGCACAAACTTGACAGGAAAGCATAATGGAGAAAAACAAGAAAAACAAGAAAAAAAAAACCCTCATCACCCTAATTGGTAAGCCATCAAGAAACAGCAGTCAATCAGGATTTTGCAACTTGATGTCAGGGGGGTTAGTGGGACTATGCAACCTGATGAAGAGGTTATGCAACCTGATGAAGAACAAAGGGTGATCAGACAGAAGGGAGTGTAACGGGCCGGTCGCATGTAAAACAAGGCCTGCGTGTCTGGATGTGTGCCTTCCCTAGGAAGGAGGGACTCGGCTGTCTATGCTGATATGGGTCCTGCACATGGCTTCTGCTGAAGACAGCAACTTGCCTGTGCCAATCTGTGTGATGGTCATGTCAGTGTCCCATCTGTGGGGCACTGGGATACCTGCTCAGCTTTGCTACTGGTTGAACCAGCAAAGCTGGAAGCAGCAGCCACATCCCTCAGCTCAGAGAGGCCCTGGATAACAGGGTGGGCACCAGCGACCAGGCAGGGGCAGTCCTGGGACTTGAGGAGGCAGCCACACTCTTAACATCCCTTAACACAGTCAACAGAAATTCTAGATATTAGCAGCTGTCACAGTACTATCCAGATACCATAAAGAAGCCCTGTGATGCTTTCAGAAAGCACTTGATCTACTGCATTCACACCAGTTTTCCCTTGCCCATCAGTGTTATGTCTGCAGAAACAATCCAAAGCCAAATGAAGAAATAATGTTTATTCCTTCCAGTTCTTTGGATGAGAAAGACACATGCCTTTTTCCTAAAAAGGAAAAATCACTATCTTCTTCAGCTAGTGAGCTTCTATAGAGTTTATTCAATATATATAAAATGCGGAATGAACAAACTGCAACTGAACTGCAGTATGTTTATTTAGGGACAGGAGAAGAGTTCTAATTATAAGGAAATAAGCTAACCATCTCTTAAAAAAAAAAAAAAATCAATTTTTTTCAATATGGAAATTTATCATTGGAGAAGAAAAGTAGGAGAATTTATTTTGCTAACCAAGTAAGAATTACTGAAAGATACCAAAGTAATAAGAATTACCAAGCATTTTCTACATTGTTTAAAAATCAACAAATTTTATCTTTTTATCAGAACATTCAGTAAGGACAGTATTTTATCGGACTATCTCAGTTTTGTATTTGAAAATCTTGTATTTACTCCCAGTTAAGCAAACCTAGATACATGATTCACAAACAACCCTTTGACTTTACCTCTGAACAAGTTTTATCCTGTTTTACCTTTAAAAAAAGTTGTAATTTAGGAAACAGCAACATCATCCTATAATTTAAGCTGTACGTAAGCTTTATAAACTAGTGTTTTTCTATATACAGAGTAACCACAGATATGAACAAAAAATTCTGTAAGATACAAAAAAAGTTTATTCTTCTTGCTTTAGTTTTGCTTCATTTCTGTATTTGATGAGTCACATACTTCTCATAGCAGATTGCATACAGCACAAAAGCTGACTGAAGGCTACTCTATATTTGCACAGAGTATAGTTTCAAGAATTTGCAGAGAATAAGCATACTGTATCAAAGCTGCATGAATACAGGAACATAAAACCAGGATCATCTCATGACTTTTAGCTAAATCTGAAAGCAACTCTTCTTTTGGGGATCTTTTTTATTGCAGAAATCTGAATTATAGGGCAATAGGGATAAACTGTGTTTAGCTTTCTAGTGTTTCCTATGATTCTTGTAATCTTTCTCACAAAAAAGTTATGATATCTTACTAAGAAGTAAAAGAAGCATCTTTGCAGTCTCATTCTTACTTAGGCTTGGCAGACAGACTTCTGAAAAGTCACTTGTTTATCAGTAGTTAATCTGCCAAAATAATACAGGAACAAGAATAACCTAATATAAGGACAAGCTTGTACCACAGATACCCATGGAAAAAGCCAGACTGAGATCAGGAAGACAGCACTTGCTTGGACTTTCTCTGTTAATGTCCTGAAAATGCTGTTTATGTCCCAACTCTTTTCCTGCCATTTCCCTTTATTCATAAAGGTTGTCTTATGTAGTAAGAGCCATAGTCCTAACTGGTCAACAGTGAATAAGAATCAAGGGGCAAACACTTTGTTAGAGATGGATATAAATAATGGGCTTCCTCATAAAACTTCTTTGAACAAAAAGGAAAAAATGCCCCTATTAAAGTAACAAAGTGATAACTCTAAATGCTCAAAAGTGGGAGGTGCAAGAATGAAAGCTGTATGTGAAATCACAGCTTACTCCCTTCATCTATAATGCCACAATTCAAATTTTATTAACATGATCACCACCTTTTTATTTCCCCCAGGAGCTCTCATTGACGGAATAGAGTACACAGCAAAGGAGGAGCTGATCAACATTTTCATCCTCACCACTTGGTGAGTGACAATGGCTTATTGCCAGAGTACACACATGTACAGAAAATGTAAACATCCAAAGGCTACCACTGAATTATGTACGGCGCTAATCATTTACAAGGAAAAGGGACCACACCTCTCCCTGTAACTAAAGACTGGATTCAAAGGATTCATTCAAGATATATATATGCAGATTTATGGAGAGTCTTTTGTCTATTTTCTTGTTCTTTTTATTTCCCGGACAATTTTTATAAATAAACTCTTTCATTATTCCTTTCATTCTGTGCGCATACTCCTTGACACCAAGTAGTAAGTTATGAACAAATTCAGGTATCAAAATATCCCTGTCATGATTTCAGTCATGCAAGAATGTTCAATCCACTGAGACAAGTGGGTTGGCCACTACTAATCTCAACTCCCTGTGCTGTTCCTCCCTTCCATGGGAAAACAGCTAGCTTTCCATCATCCTTAACACGCACATCTGCTCCCCCTCCCTGTGTGTTTCTCAGCTGCAAGCACCCCCCTCACTCTCTGTTCGCATGCAGTCTCTGCTCTTCTGTGACTCTCCCAAACCCTGAATCAAACGACCTCTCCAACAGGACAAATGGGCCCTTGCTGGCTAACTGACCAAGCTTCTTGTGGGTACTCCTCTCCCAGTCAGCTGCTGCAGAGACTCACGCTGCCAAACAAATGGCACATGCCGTTTCTGAGCTGCTGTAAGGTCATATCCGTAAGCTGTAAATTGTGCTGTATACTGGTCCAGTACAGAGGTTGTATCAGAGTCAACGCTCAGCTCCATCACCCACACCAAGCTGAGGAAAGCTGATGGGACTTCACGGAGCAGGGAGGAGAAGGACATGCCAATGTGACACACAGAAGCAGTTGAGTTGCTCAATAGGTGCCACGGTGTCCCCTCATATGTGCCCAGTAACAGCTTGCCACTCTTGAGGGGCTCAGAGCAGGAAGCCCTCTTGGAGCCATCCAAAGCACAGATGTGAAAGCCCAATCTGTACCCAATGGTTTACCTGTAAGAGTTAGTAAATTAAAATAATGAAATTTTGTGTGAAGACTCTTTTTTCTTCCCCTAAACTGATCTGAATAATTTGAGGATATCGTTATTGCAGATGTTTGTGCAACTCTTAAAATAAAGTATTATAAAGTGAAAGAACTGAACAAGTAAAAATTTGCATACAATCCAACTCGTAAATTACTTCTTTCATTTGTTGCTCTCTACCCCTGTGGCAAAAGCAGTCATTTCATTCTTAGAGTCTGATCATTTGTACAAGAATATACTTCTAGGAAACAGAAAACAGAAAGGAACCAAGAAGCACTTGGCATGAAGACCCATCAGGTGTGAATGACGTATGTGATGCAGAGTAGTGAGCTTTCTGAAAAAAGCTGTGATTTTTTTTTTTCTTCTAGTTAATTTAGTCCCTGTGTTTAGGCAATGACCTAGTCTGAATCTTTTCTTTCTTCTTTTTAAGGGGACTTTTATCTGCTGCAGTGAAGCTAGTTAAATGTGTTAATGGAAATCCAAAGCTGTGCCTTAATAGATGGCAAATCAGTTGACATTTTTGTGCTCTTCTCAGAACACACTGAGATGTCAAGTCTTCAAGCTTCATTTTTTACAGCTTTCTCTCCCTACTAATTTTTGAACTACAAAGCAGAAATAATTTACCAGTGAAAAGCAACAGAATGGACCACATCGTATAGCAGACAAGATAAGTTTGGAAACATTAACTACAGGCTATTTTACCTTCTTCTGACATCTTTTCAGCAGACAAAACTCCACTATTTATTCTAAAGCAACATTTGTTATTTCTACTGTATAAATTGAATTCAAACTTTTCCATCACAATTGACTAGAAACTAGATTTGTAAACAAGCCTACTGGAATATATCAGGCTAAGATACTAAGCAATGTGAATACATACAGGCAAGTTAGGCCTTTACAACCTTTCCACAAAATCTGCCCTGTGATGTTTGAGAGAAGAAAGAAAAAACGAAGGAAAACATTATTTCATCACAGGGTATCCAGAAAGTAAAAAAAGAAAAGCATATTATTTATATTTAGTCCTTCCTTCAGCATGAGATCAAAGATCTAATGAATTAATTTAGTAAGATCCAAGAACTCATTCTTACTGTTTTCCCTTACAAATGTTCATACAAGTTAAGATTTCAACCAACCCTATCTATCTGCAGATGTGGAGTGCTCATATCCTTCCTTTCATGGAGCGTATTAGCTCCTCTATCCTTGACTTACCTTCCCTCACCCAAGCCCAGGCCCTGGTCAGAAGGCACAGAAATAGGCAAAACACACACTTGGCCTGGTGTCATAAACACATAACTCAGCTTTTGATCAACAATTGCTTTCTTGTCTGTTGAGGAAAGAGTGCTGTGCTGAAGCAACAACAAAGACTACTGTTTTTTTACCCAGTTGCAAAACTGCAAGATTAGGTCTCCTCAGCTTCCCTAATGGAAACATCTCCAGGTTTGTTCTTTCTACCCCTCGTGCGTACACGAACCATACAACATACTTCTGGCCCTGTTCCCTCAGCCTTTGCAGCTTTAGTTGCCTACTGCAGAGAACCTGAGCTGGCTGAAATTCCTTTGCATGCACTTTGTCTCACCACACCATTAGCTGAAGAAAACAAGTGTACAATACTTGCTCTAAGAAGTGCTAGCTACCATTTACATCCATATGGATCAGTTTTCATCTTTGGGTGTCACACAGCAGCTCCATAGTAGAATGTTTTGATATCAATATTAAAACAAAGATAGCTTTTAGAGCTTTTAGTTGAAATAATTTATACTTAAAGCATTTCTGCAGATAATTCTGCAAGGGAAAAGAAAAATCTCCTGCATGAAAAGGAGAAACAAGGAAATTCTCAGCTGATATGTCAATCAATTATGTCTCCATTATGTTTTAATAATGGCATTTCATTAAACAAAAATTAATAGGTTACTTTAGGTCTGCCATGACAGAAGTTATAGCAAAGTGTCATTTAGAAGCAAAATTACTGATAAAAGTACCCAGCTCAAAGACTTGCCTCCCTAAGAGCATCAGGCTCAGTCCTAACTACACCCCCGTGGGCCATGAGGGGCACAAAGCTTATCTTGAGTAACACACATGACTCAGCTGGAGGTTTTGAAGATATTGGGTAGAAAATAAGCTCCCTGCCGGCAAACCCCATCCCTCTTCTTGAGCCTCAAACTAACCTACAGTCCAGGGTCCGCTAGCATTAAGCATCCATCCAGATTAGTGGGGAACGGCAACTGCGTGTTGACGCCACAGGTGAGGAGAGAACAAAGGAATGCACAAATCCTGCTGTAGAAAAGTCCATTATGTTTTTCTACTGTGACTTTTTTCTTCCTAAGATGATGGATTCCGCAGAAAACACAGGAATGTGAAATATTTAATACTAACCAAAGTCCCAAAGGTCAGCATGAGACTGATGGAGGCCTCAAAGTAAAGTAACAAAATAAAGACCTAAGGACTTAAGTGAAATAACAGCAAGACAGGAATCTACGTAAATTAACCAAAATATTCCACTAGTTAGACAATATTTCTCTGCTAAGAAGATTAGTCTTGCTCTTGAATTTGTGTGAGCACACTGACGCCAGGGTCTGCGTAACCAACGTGCAGAACACTGAGGACACTTTGTTTTCACGTGTCCCTGTGTCATAGGGTGGTCCATGCCAAGTCCCAGTAATGCACTTCAGAATATGGCCATTAAGAGACTGAAAGATACTCAATTTTCCTCATCACATTTTGATTCAAAGCTGATGCATCTTGTCAACTGACCTTTGTATCATCCCATCAAATTTTGACTGGGTTCAGCCACTGGTCACATTTTGATATATGATGTTACCGCTGTTGACATTTTACTGCATCATATTTGTGTCTATCTATTGAATTTGTTCTTCTGAGGATTCATATTATTTTAAAAATACTGTTATAAGATTTTATAATTACATTCTGTGTTCATTTATGATGAAAGCAAATTGTCATATTCTCTCCTGAAGTTTGTAATACTGAAGACACATCATTCTCTAGTTGAGTCAGTATTCAAGTCAGATGTTGCTCAGCTCATGTTCCTGAGCACGGTAAGAAATTCTGTTTTTCCCCCCCCCCCCCCCCAATAACCAAGTCTGCAGAGAAAAGAGACATGTATTATTTATACTTTCTCTGGATTAGGGGTTATGCCTAATCATCATAATACAGTGTTTTTTTCTTTTGTGAAAAATTTTCAAAGGTTCACAGACCCTTTTAAGAGCTTATATAAAATAACTGAGGGCCACATTTGCTATAAGTAGCTGCACTTCAGGTAGATATCTGTACAGGCAGTTTGTATATATATCATATGTATCATTAGCATGTAGATGATGTCTAAAGTGGCTTAATAGAGGCTGGCCCCAACCTCTTAAGCAAAACTCACCTATTACCCTGACTTTTTAGAATACTTACCATAGAGTCCCTTTCTTGCTAAATTCTTAAGCATTAGCAAAAATTATGTCTACAGAACATTTATAGAAGTGATAGGAAAAGGCAAATTCTTTCTCTTCTCTCTCAAACACATGCCAGATAATCTATCTTTAGCCATTAACCATCCCATATCTTGTGAATTAGTGAAGGCAATCATAGAGGTCCTCAGGGGATGATGGAAGTTGTAAGTAGAAAGCACTTACTGTATTACACCAATCATACAGAGATTTAGTACAGTTATGCAGAACATGAAAGCTACACAAGAAGAATCCATCCCAGTCCAGTCCCGCTCCTTTATTTTTCTGTTTTACCATGTGAAGTGATTTTCAGTTCATTTATTGCTGAAAGTTTTCACCTGTATGTCAACCTTTACTAGTTATGTTATTGTGTTTCCAAACACTTTTGGGGACAAGCGATTAATTTGGTTACTTCTGAATAACCACTGTTCTCTATAGACCCGTAACAGCTAAACTTTTACACAATAAAGCAATAGGAAAGGAGACTGTTTGTAAAGGAGCATTGGGCAGTGCTGATTTGAGTATTAAAAGAATATTACTTACCACTAACACCTAGATTCTGCCATCTGGCTGAATACAAAATATGAAAAATACAAAAATGAAATCTGATAGTTCCCTGCATATTGCAGCAAAATAGCTTGTTAAAAGCAAATATACATATGAACACTGATAATTATTGACCCAAATGGATTATGTTTGGGGAGGTTTGTTATAGCCTCTATGTTCTCAGAACTTGCACTGTTCTAGGTCTTGGGAAGATGCAAGCAAGGATTCCTTGTCCTACAAAACATAGAAATGTTCATTGTATTGAATAAAGCACTTTCTTCCCCAGAGCAGTCTAGAAGTTTGCCTGAATTTTAAAAATCAGGGATGTGGCATTTCAGACACAGGCTTGTTCTTGATGTACTGGGAACTGGAATACCTACCTGCCTGCATGAAAAGTTGCTATCTTCACCAAGCAGTGATAGGCTTATTCACTCGTTTCACAAAGAAAATAACACATACATTTATTTCTTATAGTTAGCTTCTCAGCCCTGGCACACATGGCAGGGATCTCAGGCCACTGATAATGGTGCTGTAAAGAAGTAGTTTGATGACCAAATCTCATTAGAAGTTAACCAACACTTGACCATCCATAATGACCCTTGCAAGAAAACATACAATTATGTAAACCCTTACAGGGTAAGTGTCTTCAACTGGAAAATAAATATCCATTTTTATGAAACAGTTTTAGACACTGATTCAAATGATATGTCAGTGTCAAAAAAAAAAAAGCCTATAAAGTATTACCCATAT